AATGCATGCCTCATGTGGTTTAGTGCTTCATCAAAATGCTTTTGAGTTTCATTGTAGTCTGATTGTTAAATGGACCTCTTCAGACCTCTTGTAGAGTTCAGACAGACTCCTAGAGTTGTGATGGAACAGGGAGACATTCATTAGGTCATTGTATCTGATCTCTGCCCTATGGCCTTGCAGGTGGAAGCTGCAGCTGGCTGAGTTGAGTAAGCTGCCTGCCTTTGCGCGGGTGGTGTCTGCAGGGAATCTGCTCAGTCACGTGGGCCATACCATTCTCGGCATGAACACCGTACAGCTCTATATGAAGGTCCCAGGCAGCAGGACACCAGGTCAGTTTATTGGCACGCAAGCACATACACATCTCGCTGTGCTTTTATTGAGGCAGAATTCTCAAATTCAGACATTGATAATGATTAAGTGTAGATGTTAAATGTTTCTTTGCCCATTCAGGTCATCAAGAAAATAACAACTTCTGCTCCGTCAACGTTAATATTGGCCCTGGAGATTGTGAATGGTTTGCTGTTCCTGAGCCATACTGGGGTGTCATGAATGATTTCTGTGAAAAGTGAGCACTGTTAAAAACTGTGACTTTGTTGAATCAGTATTTGCTAATATGAGTGTCTCCAATATAGTCTTATCTTGCACATCCACTGACTGACATGTTCTTTGTTATGCAGGAATAATATTAATTACCTGATGGGCTCATGGTGGCCAAATCTAGAGGACTTGTATGAGGCCAATGTTCCAGTGTATCGCTTCATCCAGCGACCAGGTGATCTGGTCTGGATTAATACAGGCACTGTGCATTGGGTTCAGGCTATTGGCTGGTGCAACAACATTGCCTGGAATGTAGGACCACTCACTGGTAAATTTGCCAAGTTTCTTATTACTGAAGTCTGGAGTGTGCCTATAATGCCTTAAATGCTGTGTATTTTCTATTTAATTTAAAACACCATGAATAAAAACAAAGCAAATGCTGTGTTGGTGGGCAGCTCACTTGGTTTTAGAACAGACGTTCATATCAATTTTGAAGAAAGTGTGTTCTTTGAAAAACATTTTTCAGTCTTGTTAAGTGAAATACGTAACTGCTAATTAGGTTATTTTATTTGTAAACCTTAAGTTATAATACAGTTAATCTATTTGTTAACTGACAGAAGGGTCTAATTCTTATTCGTCCTTCAGTGCATCAGTATAAGTCAGCTGTGGAACGCTACGAGTGGAACAAACTCCAGGGTGTCAAATCCATCGTTCCCATGATTCACCTTTCTTGGAACATGGCCAGGAACATTAAAGTGTCAGACCACAAGCTCTTTGAGATGATCAAGTGAGTCTACTGCACCACATTAATGATTGGGGCTCTTTAAATGGTCACGATGCAGTTCATTGTGGCTGAAAACTCTAGCGGTTTAATGGAAGTGTTAAATATGGTCTGTTCTTCTTCCTCAGGTACTGTTTGTTGAGGACACTAAAGCAGTGTCAGATGCTGAAGGAGTCTCTTATAGCTGCTGGCAAAGAGCTAGTTTGGCATGGAAGGACCAAGGACGAACCTGCTCACTACTGTAGCATATGTGAGGTGTGTATTCTTCATTAATGTTTTCTAGCACAAAATAAACATGAATGAACATCAGAAGGTATGTTGAAAGATACATTACAACTTACTGAAATCTGTATCATGTCACGCAATCAAACCGCTGAAAGATGTCAATAAAACAGTATGTAAACAATGCCACGTAATGTTACATTTACCTCAAAAAAGCAGTGACCATAAACTCTAGAGGAGCATTTTGTTAAATATACACACTATATTGCTTATTCGTTGTATTTTTACTTAACCTGTTCTCCGATATTTAATGTTATTAAATATTTAATCTGTCTTTGTGACAGCCACCATCTAAAAGTTTGTTTAAAACAAAAAATAAACAAAAAAAAAAAAATCATTAAATTTATTACAAAATTAGATATTATAAAAATGTCCTTATGTGTAATTGAAATTAAAGTAGCCTATGCATATCAGCAAATTTTTCAACCACTAATATTGATGTACCACCTGGGGTTCCCTGTATAGTTTACAGCATTAGTTGAGAGAGTTTTTTTTTCTTTTTTTTTTTCTTAAGGACATTTCCTATGTACTGTACTTGATAGGCCCCGATTAATCAATATCAAATTGAAATCGAATGCAAGCTACTGAATCGAAGTCGAATCATTAAATTGTTTCCAATGCCCAGCCCTAATGTAAACTTAAGATTGGCCCACACTAAAAGATTTTTTAAACCTTATCAAATTTTTAAAACGAGAGACCCACAAAAATCAATGTAACAGTTTGGTTCCTATTGTGTGTGGTGTGCTACGATGTGCCGAATATAGCACTTACATATCCCATTCACAAACAACTAGAGTCCTGACTGTAAACATGGAAAATCTTGCAAAATCTCTCGCAATCAAATGTGACGTTAGAGAAAACAAACATGGAAGACGACAGGAAAGTGATGGCAATAATAGTGTTTGGACTGCTTTTTCCAGATAATTTGTGGGGAGAAAAGAGTTTGGATGAAGTTATTATGCTTCAGTGTTACATCAGCTCACTTTCTGATTTGGTATCATTTCGACCTATATGACAAACTACAGAGTGTGTGTGCGTTTGTCCCTGGGGTTCCACCCCCACACAACAGGCTTTCTGATTGTAAATATTCAACATGTAGAGATCGGTGCAGCCCTGACATTCTTCAGTGCAGATTATAATAATTATAATTAAATAATCTGAAGAACCATCAAGATAATCAGGACTGGGCCCAAGGGTAGAATTGGGCCCAAAATCATCCCGATTATCTTGTAGTGAGTGAGTGGGTGTCTTAAATGAAAATTTCTATTGGTCATGAACATTTCATTTCGATTAATCTTTTTCTTGGTAAATGGTAAATGGACTGCATTTATATAGCGCCTTCATAGACCTAATGGCCACCAAAGCGCTTTACATTTAGCCTCACATTCACCCATTCACACACACATTCATACACCGACGGCGGTGTCAGCCATGCAAGGCGCCAGCCAGCTCGTCGGGAGCAGCTGGGGTTAGGTGTCTTGCTCACGGACACCTCGACACTTGGTCAGGTGGAACCGAGGATTGAACCACCAACCTCTTGGTTCGTAGACAATCCACATGAACCACTGAGCCACTGCCGCCCTTATGGGTTAATCTTTTTCTTGATACTAGAGTTTTCTATTTTAGTTGATTTTAATTCTACTTTGATTGGATCTTTTCTATCCATGCTTGCTTTGTTTTGTTTTTTGTTAACTGATCTTTTCTATTGCTTTTCCCAGGTGGAGGTCTTTGACATGCTGTTTGTCACCAGTGAGAGCAACTCACGGAAGACGTATGTGGTGCACTGCCACGGCTGCGCTCAGAGATGCAGCCCTAACCATGAGAACTTTGTGGTTTTAGAGCAGTACAAAATAGAGGACCTCATGCAAGTGTATGACCAGTTCACATTAGTGAGTCTCAAAGTTTCTTGTAGATGAATCTCTGCATAAAGCTTTTATATCAACTTCTATTCGTACCATTAATGGTCCCAGGTAGCAAGCATTGAACATGGTTAATAACGTCCTCTTGCTCTCTCCACAGGCCCCACCCTTGCCCTCCTCCTCCTCCTCGTCTTGACGTTAACATTAACGGTTCTTCGGATAACACCCTGGAACGCAACACATCCCTTTCTGATATTCAGGAGACCTGACCCAGTTCCACACCACTGGTTTCTGTAGCAAACCCCACGAGGCTGCTGGTTCTAAGCTGTTTGTCTATGCAACCTTGCCAAGTATGGAGTTTCGGCCCACTGGAGTGAAGTGGGATCGTCTGCATCTTCAGGACTGTTCCAGCTTGTTCAGCACCACTTTTCTTTGAAACACAAACTACAAATAGACTAATTGCTGAGGAAAAATGGTTTTGTGTATATACCACAAATGTCAAAATCACTCAAAACTACTGACTCTTCCTTTTTATTGTTGCTTTAATCATTTTTTTGTTTTGTTTCTTTTGCGTTTTTCTGTACTTCGTGTATGGGCTGATACATGATTATTTTATTTTTTATTTTATTTCCTCTTAAATACTACCGTAGCTGGTCTTTTTTGTTCAACAATTTCTTTAGGTAACAAAAAAGAAACTTGTAATGTGAATTTTGTTTCTTATTAAAAATATTTTTTGCCTCTTTTTCTTAAGGAAAAAGTTAAGTGGGGGGGTGGGTGTGTGTGGATAGCCAAGTCACAAAGAAAAATGGGTTGCACATAGACTAAGGAATAAACTTTAATTTGTGTTTTTTTTTTTGTTTGTGTGTGTTATATTTCTAATCTTGTAAATTTACACTATTTATAAATATTTATTGCTTGAAAATATTTGTTGATGGAATGCTGTTATTTTTTTTCCCAGAGTTCCTGCCATTAAATTTTATGGAGTTGTGTAATTTTGAACATTTCTCTTTTTACATTTTCTATACATGAATAAAACTGCTTAGCAAGCATTGTACAGAAACATGAAGATTGATATGGTTTATGGGTTACTAATCAGAGTTGTCTTTGTAATTAAAATATTCTCCTTTTGTGATGAAATTCCTTGTCTCAGGTGTAACTAATATTTGTTTATATATATATACAAGTATATCAAAGTATAGCCTGCAGACAAACTTTGAGACATATTATGCAATAAATAAACAAATGTATATATATATATATATATATATATATATATATATATATATATATATGGGGGGTTCAGATGCAAAAGCCTCTAAATGCCATTTGAAATTTTCTTCAAGAATGTTAATTTTTATCAAGCTTGTATATTTAAGTTCAGTAATTTCACTTAACTGGTAATGAAGATTACCTATGAATTGCCATTTAAGTGAAATTACTGAATTTAAATATACAAGCTTGATAAAAATGATTATTCTAGAAGAGAATTTCAAATGTCACTTAGAGGCTTTTGCATCTGAACTCTTCATACATATATATATATATATATATATATATATATACATACACACACACATACATGTTTATTTGTCTCAATGTTTGTCTGCAGGCTACACTTCGATAAGATAAACATCCTTTATTAGATATGTGTTGATAAAGCTATGTTGTGTCAAGAAGATACTTCCAGGTTCAGACTGTATCTGTGAACTTTACATACAGATACTCCACCCAAAAAATTAAATTCTTCTTTCACTCACCCTGATATCATTCAGGTGCACCTTGCACTTCTTGCTCTTTCTTTTTGGTCTCTGGGCAATACAATCTTATGAGAGTTTGTTCATTCGTATGATCTGAACTAGTGTTTGGCGCTACATTTATCCATTCTCTGTTACATAGAAAAAAAGGATGACAGGTTTGAAAATGACATGAGGGTTAAATGACAATCTTCATTTTTTTTTGGGAGAATTATCCCGTAGTAGTTCAGGTCTAGAACTTGTCACTATATAGGCATTCAGGATACCTGTATCCATAAAGAGCGCTGCATGCCCTTAGTGTCTGTAAGATGTCTTTTAAGGTTTGGATGGCAGCGATTATTCTTTGGTCAGACTGAGATTGGTCTGCGCAGTTAGCCAGCTCGTTCACTGCTGCTCTGGGAAGGTGACCGGACTGCACATCATTAGGGACGAGCAGTTTGTTAAGGACATGTTTGCATAGTAGGGTAATACTCTGTGTCGTTCGGACAGTCTCACATGGGGGAGGTCTCGCACAAGATCCACTCAGACAGGAGAAGACATCAAGGTGTTCTGGTAGCAAGTCTTCATCAGGAGGATGTCCTGCCAGAAGGAGTGGTATTATTTAATAAGATGTATAGCACAGCACCAGATTTAGTGATTACTGTACATTTAGGCTGCATTATGAATAATTAATTCTATTTATTAATAATTTAAATTTTATTTTTATGTAGCTTTCATAAAGTGGTTGCTAGTCATCCTGGGGTTCACTTAAAATTACATAATTTAAAAGAAAAAGTTTCATGCTTATGAAGTCTGTGTTTATTTGATCAAAAATACAGTAAATTAATATTGATAAATATTATTACAATTTAAAATGTAATTTATTTCAGTGATGGTGAAGCTGAATTTTCAGCATCATTACTCCAACTCCAGTCTTCAGTGTCACGTGGTCCTTCAGAAATCATTCTGTACATCTATATTTGCATATTTAGTACTTAAGAAACATTTCTTATTAAGTTGCTGCTTAATATTTATGTGGGAACTAGCTTACGAAAGTATTAATTTGTTAAAAACAAATCGTATTGACCCCAACATTTTGAATGTTAGTGTATATGAACATTATAAATTGTACTTAAAACCCGGCAAAAAAAACAAACATTCATAATATAAATATAAAGAGCAAATAATATTGAACCTTTCCATATGCACATAATTACAAAACTGTTTGTAGGAATATGTTGTTGTTGTTTTTTTGTTTGTTTTTTTGCCTTACTGGTGGAAAAGCTTATTCCAACTATAGGGTTTACCTGTGTACATGGTATAAGGAATATTTTACTGCAGAAAACTATTTATAGGTAACCTGTAGCGATTAAGCCCAAACTGACCTTCCTGTAAGTCAATGATCCCAATGTTACTGGCATCCACAATGAAGACCCTGCTATCATCCAAGATGCCAAACATGTCCTCTGAGACACTGGTATAGAAGAGGCTGAACTGGAGGCTGTTGGCGCTCAGGCTCTGGGTGATGTGAAGGAGCTGGTGGACGATGTCTGCGCGGCGCTCTAATGGAGAGTTAAACAGGCTCCTGAGGGGTCTGCTCCCGGCACACACCATCATCCTTCCGCAGGAGCCGTGGTAGCGCAGGAAGGGCCAGCCCTCTGTGCCTGGAAACATCTGTAGGCAGAAAAGGCAAAAGTAGGGCTGAAAACAGGAAGCGAGGGAGCTTGAGCGCCATGAGCGGGCAATGTTAATGTGTGTTATTTTCATTTTCTTTATATGTAGAGGTAGACCGTCCTTCTTCCTGTGTTTGGAAACAACATTATTGAAATGTCTCAGATAATGCCCCTTTTCCCTTGAAAATCTGCACACTAAATTTTATGAAATAACAATGTTTACATTCAGATTTATGCTTTTATCCAAAGATTTGCATTGCATTTTTAAAGTATATTTTGATTAGCTCATGCATTCACTGGGAATCATGAGCCATGCTAATCATATTGGCCTACTAATCATCATACCTGCAGTATAAGAGGCTGTTGATTCACTGCCAGAGTGTAAAGAAGTCTGAGTTTGTCCTTTTCACTAAAGTGCTTCATCTGCACACTGCCAACATCAGTCACTTCGAAGTAGCGTCGCACAATGCGGTCCAGCAACCTTTGAGATGGACAGCGCAGCATCGGGGTGACCAGACCCTATAGAGAAAGAGTTTTGATAAATAGTAGCCTACTCATTAGAAGCAGTCAAATGTTACGTATTTAAGATGTTTCTTTGACACTGTCACACTATTTTTACATTCTCACTGTGCAATTTGTCCACTAACAATGCCCATCCATCAGAATATATATATATATATATACATATATATAGGCTATACAGTATGTATATATGTAAAGACCTCAGGTGCAAAAGCCTCTAAAAAGCCACCTGTCGAAAGTGAGATAATAATATTGAGTGAATGCTCTCCGCACATATCCTAAAATACTTGAGTACTCAAATACTTTCACTTCAAACTCCCCAACCCGGTATCACGACAAGACGTGAAATAATCACGTTGGTCCACTTTGGAAAACGTGTAGATGTCACGGTTTAACCCCCTCAAACGTGAAACTAACACGTTTGCGTTTACACGTTCCAGTGGAGAGATACATTACACGCAATCGCCTATGAAACAAAATGGAATTTTGTTTTATTGACGATCACTGAGAAATATTCTATTATTTAAAATGCAAAAAAAAAACAAAAAAAAAAACATTTATTATTTTCAAGGTGAAACGGGATTAATTTGCCTTGATCCACGCCGAAAAAAACGTCGTCACGTTTTTAATGAAGTAGCCTAATGAGTACCCCTTTTGTTTTTTTTTCATTTTTGGGCGAAAAATTAAGTTTCTCCAATCTTCTCAAAACTCTGGATTATGATAGAGGGCTGTGAGACTTTGACCTGAGTACAAAAATGGATGATCTAGACCCTTCCAGAGCTGAGATATCAAACTTCAAAATTTCGACCCAAAAAAAAAAACCACAGTGTTACCCCTTTTGTTTTTTTTTTGTTTTTGGGCGAAAAATTAAGTTTCTCCAATCTTCTCAAAACTCTGGATTATGATAGAGGGCTGTGAGACTTTGTCCTGAGTGCAAAAATGGATGATCTAGACCCTTCCAGAGCTGAGATATCAAACTTCAAAATTTCGACCCGAAAAAAAAACGACAGTGTTACCCCTTTTGTTTTTTTTCATTTTTGGGCGAAAAATTAAGTTTCTCCAATCTTCTCAAAACTCTGGATTATGATAGAGGGCTGTGAGACTTTGACCTGAGTGCAAAAATGGATGATCTAGACCCTTCCAGAGCTGAGATATCAAACTTCAAAATTTCGACCCGAAAAAAAAAACGACAGTGTTACCCCTTTTGTTTTTTTTCATTTTTGGGCGAAAAATTAAGTTTCTCCAATCTTCTCAAAACTCTGGATTATGATAGAGGGCTGTGAGACTTTGACCTGAGTGCAAAAATGGATGATCTAGACCCTTCCAGAGCTGAGATATCAAACTTCAAAATTTCGACCCGAAAAAAAAACGACAGTGTTACCCCTTTTGTTTTTTTTCATTTTTGGGCGAAAAATTAAGTTTCTCCAATCTTCTCAAAACTCTGGATTATGATAGAGGGCTGTGAGACTTTGACCTGAGTGCAAAAATGGATGATCTAGACCCTTCCAGAGCTGAGATATCAAACTTCAAAATTTCGACCCGAAAAAAAAAACGACAGTGTCACCCCTTTTGTTTTTTTTCATTTTTGGGCGAAAAATTAAGTTTCTCCAATCTTCTCAAAACTCTGGATTATGATAGAGGGCTGTGAGACTTTGACCTGAGTGCAAAAATGGATGATCTAGACCCTTCCAGAGCTGAGATATCAAACTTCAAAATTTCGACCCGAAAAAAAAACGACAGTGTTACCCCTTTTGTTTTTTTTCATTTTTGGGCGAAAAATTAAGTTTCTCCAATCTTCTCAAAACTCTGGATTATGATAGAGGGCTGTGAGACTTTGACCTGAGTGCAAAAATGGATGATCTAGACCCTTCCAGAGCTGAGATATCAAACTTCAAAATTTCGACCCGAAAAAAAAAACGACAGTGTTACCCCTTTTGTTTTTTTTCATTTTTGGGCGAAAAATTAAGTTTCTCCAATCTTCTCAAAACTCTGGATTATGATAGAGGGCTGTGAGACTTTGACCTGAGTGCAAAAATGGATGATCTAGACCCTTCCAGAGCTGAGATATCAAACTTCAAAATTTCGACCCGAAAAAAAAACGACAGTGTTACCCCTTTCGTTTTTTTTTCATTTTTGGGCGAAAAATTAAGTTTCTCCAATCTTCTCAAAACTCTGGATTATGATAGAGGGCTGTGAGACTTTGACCTGAGTGCAAAAATGGATGATCTAGACCCTTCCAGAGCTGAGATATCAAACTTCAAAATTTCGACCCGAAAAAAAAAACGACAGTGTTACCCCTTTTGTTTTTTTTCATTTTTGGGCGAAAAATTAAGTTTCTCCAATCTTCTCAAAACTCTGGATTATGATAGAGGGCTGTGAGACTTTGACCTGAGTGCAAAAATGGATGATCTAGACCCTTCCAGAGCTGAGATATCAAACTTCAAAATTTCGACCCGAAAAAAAAAACGACAGTGTTACCCCTTTTGTTTTTTTTTCATTTTTGGGCGAAAAATTAAGTTTCTCCAATCTTCTCAAAACTCTGGATTATGATAGAGGGCTGTGAGACTTTGACCTGAGTGCAAAAATGGATGATCTAGACCCTTCCAGAGCTGAGATATCAAACTTCAAAATTTCGACCCGAAAAAAAAACGACAGTGTTACCCCTTTTGTTTTTTTTCATTTTTGGGCGAAAAATTAAGTTTCTCCAATCTTCTCAAAACTCTGGATTATGATAGAGGGCTGTGAGACTTTGACCTGAGTGCAAAAATGGATGATCTAGACCCTTCCAGAGCTGAGATATCAAACTTCAAAATTTCGACCCGAAAAAAAAACGACAGTGTTACCCCTTTTGTTTTTTTTCATTTTTGGGCGAAAAATTAAGTTTCTCCAATCTTCTCAAAACTCTGGATTATGATAGAGGGCTGTGAGACTTTGACCTGAGTGCAAAAATGGATGATCTAGACCCTTCCAGAGCTGAGATATCAAACTTCAAAATTTCGACCCGAAAAAAAAACGACAGTGTTACCCCTTTTGTTTTTTTTCATTTTTGGGTGAAAAATTAAGTTTCTCCAATCTTCTCAAAACTCTGGATTATGATAGAGGGCTGTGAGACTTTGACCTGAGTGCAAAAATGGAGGCTCTAGACCCTTCCAGAGCTGAGATATCAAACTTCAAAATTTCGACCCGAAAAAAAAACGACAGTGTTACCCCTTTTGTTTTTTTTCATTTTTGGGCGAAAAATTAAGTTTCTCCAATCTTCTCAAAACTCTGGATTATGATAGAGGGCTGTGAGACTTTGACCTGAGTGCAAAAATGGATGATCTAGACCCTTCCAGAGCTGAGATATCGAAACTCAAAATTTCGACCCGAAAAAAAAACGACAGTGTTACCCCTTTTGTTTTTTTTCATTTTTGGGCGAAAAATTAAGTTTCTCCAATCTTCTCAAAACTCTGGATTATGATAGAGGGCTGTGAGACTTTGACCTGAGTGCAAAAATGGAGGCTCTAGACCCTTCCAGAGCTGAGATATCAAACTTCAAAATTTCGACCCGAAAAAAAAAACGACAGTGTTACCCCTTTTGTTTTTTTTCATTTTGGGCGAAAAATTAAGTTTCTCCAATCTTCTCAAAACTCTGGATTATGATAGAGGGCTGTGAGACTTTGACCTGAGTGCAAAAATGGATGATCTAGACCCTTCCAGAGCTGAGATATCAAACTTCAAAATTTCGACCCGAAAAAAAAACGACAGTGTTACCCCTTTTGTTTTTTTTCATTTTTGGGCGAAAAATTAAGTTTCTCCAATCTTCTCAAAACTCTGGATTATGATAGAGGGCTGTGAGACTTTGACCTGAGTGCAAAAATGGATGATCTAGACCCTTCCAGAGCTGAGATATCAAACTTCAAAATTTCGACCCGAAAAAAAAAACGACAGTGTTACCCCTTTTGTTTTTTTTCATTTTTGGGCGAAAAATTAAGTTTCTCCAATCTTCTCAAAACTCTGGATTATGATAGAGGGCTGTGAGACTTTGACCTGAGTGCAAAAATGGATGATCTAGACCCTTCCAGAGCTGAGATATCAAACTTCAAAATTTCGACCCGAAAAAAAAACGACAGTGTTACCCCTTTCGTTTTTTTTCATTTTTGGGCGAAAAATTAAGTTTCTCCAATCTTCTCAAAACTCTGGATTATGATAGAGGGCTGTGAGACTTTGACCTGAGTGCAAAAATGGATGATCTAGACCCTTCCAGAGCTGAGATATCAAACTTCAAAATTTCGACCCGAAAAAAAAACGACAGTGTTACCCCTTTTGTTTTTTTTCATTTTTGGGCGAAAAATTAAGTTTCTCCAATCTTCTCAAAACTCTGGATTATGATAGAGGGCTGTGAGACTTTGACCTGAGTGCAAAAATGGATGATCTAGACCCTTCCAGAGCTGAGATATCAAACTTCAAAATTTCGACCCGAAAAAAAAAACGACAGTGTTACCCCTTTCGTTTTTTTTCATTTTTGGGCGAAAAATTAAGTTTCTCCAATCTTCTCAAAACTCTGGATTATGATAGAGGGCTGTGAGACTTTGACCTGAGTGCAAAAATGGAGGCTCTAGACCCTTCCAGAGCTGAGATATCAAAACTCAAAATTTCGACCCGAAAAAAAAACGACAGTGTTACCCCTTTTGTTTTTTTTCATTTTTGGGCGAAAAATTAAGTTTCTCCAATCTTCTCAAAACTCTGGATTATGATAGAGGGCTGTGAGACTTTGACCTGAGTGCAAAAATGGATGATCTAGACCCTTCCAGAGCTGAGATATCAAACTTCAAAATTTCGACCCGAAAAAAAAACGACAGTGTTACCCCTTTTGTTTTTTTTCATTTTTGGGCGAAAAATTAAGTTTCTCCAATCTTCTCAAAACTCTGGATTATGATAGAGGGCTGTGAGACTTTGACCTGAGTGCAAAAATGGAGGCTCTAGACCCTTCCAGAGCTGAGATATCAAACTTCAAA